CTCTGATGCTGTCCCCAAGCTCACCAGAGCTTTTGTTCTTATGCCTGCATTGGGAGCTCTTCCATCTGAAGAGTGGCATGTTTGCAGCTGATGGCGGTAACCGTCCAGGGCTGCTGTCCAGGATGAGAGTGGCAGCTACTGCCAGGACCTCAGAGGCCTTTCTGCCTCCACCCTGGATGTTCCTAAACCTACAGACATGGCATGTTCTTCAGGGTCATTGGGGCTGAGGCTGGTTCCAGTGCTTTCCCCAGTGACTGCCCCCCAGGCAATATTAATCCGGCAAGGTCCTCATCAGGCTGGAACCGCTGTGGGCTACCCATCTGCAGAACTGAGAGGGCGGCGGGAGACCACCCCACATTCAGCACACCCCCACAGAGCTCTTCCCATGTGGAATCAGGCCAGGGAAGGCACCAGGGATGCGGGGCCCTGGGGCCAGAGGAGCCAACAGCACAGTGTGAGTCACCTTTAATTAGGAGTATTTCTTAAGTAAATCACTTAATAGGACACTTATATTCATTAGAGGCATAATTATAAGACATAAGATCAAGCAGAAAAGAATGTGAGCTACGAAGGCAGAATCCAGTGGGAGGCAGCACCACGGGTCCTGGGGGACAGAAGTGAGGGGCAGGGGAGGGGCCATGTCCCATTGTATGGCTGCTCTCACCGGGTCCTTGGCCAGCCCAGCCCAGCCACCCTTAGATCCCCATCCTCAGAGTGGAGTGGGGAGGGAGACCCAGGCATAATTAAAATGCAATAATAATAAATAGACACTAATTAACATGTTATGGAGTGTCCCATTAAACTCTGAGTCAGCCCTGACAGAGCACCCCCTGCCTCCCTGGCATGGTGGACACCCTCCAGGAGAAAGCACCCCATTGTCCTGGACCTTTGGGAGACAGTGCCACTTCGTCTAGTCCTCCAGCTGCCACCTGGGGCTGCAGAGTGAGGTGGCTCCTGACTCTGGAGAACTTCACTTGGTCCTTTGCAGACTCCAGAGACTCCAAATTAATAGATTCAATTTCTCCTAGAGCATAAAGTGATCCCTAGATTTCTGTTGCTTTCCCTGCATGTCCCAAACTGCTGTAATTTCCACCAAAGCCCCCATGATGGGGTTTGATTGTGCTGCTTTCCACCCCTGTGGCCTGATGTTTAAAAAGCTGTCCCCCAGGAGCTGAGGCCATCTCTAGCTGTGATTCTCAAACTGTAACACACCCACAGATCAACCCATTTGGGGAGCCCAATCCAGCTTTGCTGATGGAGTGGGCCCTAGGTCTTCTTGTCTGAAAAGCTCACAGGTAATGCCAGCAGTGCTGGCCTGAGGACCACACCTTGACAGCCATCGCCCCTTGAAAGCCACAGGGCCACCTGTTTCTGGAGGACATTCTTTTGACCAAGGAGTAACAGACTAAAGGCTCCGAGACTCCATATTGCTCCCTGTCTTCCCCACCCTTTGTGTTCGAGCCCAAACCCTTTCCTTCTGGAGTCGGTGTAGTAGTTGCCTCCTAGGACCTGATTCATACGCGTCTGTTGCGTAGTCCCCTGTGCACTCCCTCCTGGACGCCAGTGCCCAGCAGAAATAAACTGCCAGCTGCAGACCTGAGCTATGTGTGTGTGGTTTGCTAGCAGCTAAAATGGGCCTTGTTCCAAAGAGTGAGAAAAAACGAATTTTATGGAACCCAATATATATAAAATGGTAGCTTTTAAAATGCTCACAATGCATTATTAATGTGATATTTTATTTCTGTTCTCTTCTACACTGAGCCTCCCGCGTCCAGCGCGTGTCATGTACTCACCGTGCAGCTCAGCTCCGCAGCTCCTTTCAGACGCTCCTGAGCCCCGCGGGGCTGGTGGCCACCACACCAGACAGGGCGACACAGAAGCACTTTTTGTCCTTACTTCGCATTCGCTCATCCCCCTCTAAATATCTCTCTTAGAACACCATTGCTTTCTTGTTTTTATTGCTAGTCAGTTTGCAACTTAGGAGTGATGGCTGTGTTTTAATGCTGTTGTTTTTTTTATTCTCCTGAAGTGGACTGTATGGAGGACATGATTGATGAGCACTGGTTGATGAATGAACATAGAAAGCCATGAATATAGGGACATCTGACTTTGAGGGTCCCCTCCCAGTCACTGTGGCATTTCTTTCCTCTGGTCTGGGCATGGCTGTTAGATCTCAGAGGGGAGAATGATTCTAGCTGTAGAACCCTCCCCCGCTATAAGTTTCCTGTTTCACTTTTACTCTTTAACTCAGTGCATTAAAAAAAAGAAATCCCACCAAGAGGGCCCAGGAAACAGGAAAAATAGTTGTGCTGTTGGTTTCATGTTTGGAGAAGAACAGGGTTTCACTATCTCCATGGCACTTGGCGTGAAAGTGGGCTTTGTTGCGGGAGACACTGCACCCATTCAGGGCCCCCTTCCCCAGCTGCTGAGAGCCGGGCTGTGTTTTGACAGACGGGCCGAATGCAATGCAGACAGTTGTTTTAATTTCCAGCCAGATGCAGACATCACTCACAAGGAGCTCGAAAGCCAAGAAAGGGAGCTGGGCACTGGACTGCTGCTCTCAGGCCTGGCAAGGCAAGTTGGAGGGGGTCAGCGGAAGCCCAACAGGGAGCAAGGGTCCCAGAGATCCGCAGGCTCCAGGGAGGCACCTCCAGCAGGCCCCTGTCCAAAAGGTGCCTTTTGTAGCCATCCCAGCCCATGAGCAAAGCATGGGAAAGGCCCTGGGAAATCGGTCAGTGGTGGTGACGGCTGGATGCTATCTTCCAGCTGTCAAGTCATCCAGGTCAGAAATCATAACTGGCCTCAGAGAGTAGGTAAACTATGGGAAGTAGAATCCTGGACTGTCCAAATTTGAAAGGAGGATCCAGCCTTCCTCTGTAGGTGGAGAGGCCTCACACAGCATCACAGGAAAATGCCACCTTGACTGTGGGTGCGTCCCAGTAGTCGGTGTCCGTTCAGGCGGCATTCAACAGCCCTACCTCTCTTGTGTTGCACTCTTCGTCCATGGCCCTACTGCTGCCACACGGAGCCTGTCAGACACCGGAAAGAACCCGGGGCCGCCTTGAGACTCCTCTCCTGAGGGCTAAATAAGCATCTGATGCCCATTGGCTGCACTTAGAAACCACACCTGGACCTCCTGCCACTGTCCTGGCCGTCCTTTGGGATGGACCTTCAGTTAAGAAACACCCCATAGGGAGGCTGCAGAGACCAGAGCTCAGGACACCTGAGCATGACCACCTCACTAGGTCCTGACAATGTATATTTGTCTGGGTAGCTCATGATCATATCAGGTCCTTTAGGCAGGACATCACCTGTCATATCGCACATAGACTCATCTTGAACCCTGCCATATATTAAGCTTGAAGTGTTTTAAACCAGCTATTCCCCAAACTACATTTAGAATATCCATTTTTAAACGAAGTTTCAATATAGCCACTAACCCTACCTGCCTTTCATCTGTTTATTATTGAAGGGAGTTAGGCGTGCTCGGGGCTCAGGGTGTCCCTCATTCACAGAAAAGCCTGTGACAGGGCATGGTAGTTTGTGATGTGCTAAGGCTGGATAGGACTGCTAACAAAAGAGGCAGGCTGGGCACCCCACCAGAAAGTCAGAAAGTACCTGAACAGTGTACGCCCACCTTCAGATGAGACTGAACCTGTCTGTGATTCCTTCTGTCCATGATTACACTTCAGTTTGGAATGTCCTTGGAAGACATTTGGCACACACCTCCCAACAGACAGTCCCGGGAAGCCTCCTCCCCAGCACCGAGGCCCCCAGCACTTACACCAGTCCTGGCACACACAGACAGGTAGCACAACGCCTAGCAACTCTGTCTGCGGTTCCCACTCCCCTGAGCAGCAGGGCTCTATGGGTAGCGCGCACGCTGTTCTCAGTGGCTTCCCTATGGTTTAGCACCAGTGCCCCACAGAACTGACATCTAATAAACCTCTGCTGAACGAACAACATCAGGGTCCCTCCTGAGCTCTCAGGAGGATGCTGTGCAAGTATCTCTGTCACGTGCTCCGTCCCCCAGCCAGAGGCAGAACACTGCATTGCTGGACCCCAGGTTATGTTTTCACCTGAGCTCACACATTCTGTAGGTGGCAGGCCCCTGTGCTCTAGCAAATGAGAACCAATTTCTGGCCCAGCAGATGTTTCTGTAGCCCAGCAGCCTCCTGCCCCAACATGAACAGATACTTAGGACACAGCAAATGGGAGACTTCGGTCCTCTGACCCTTTGCCTGGCCTTTATTGTCACACTCACTGGCGGGGGGTGGGGGGTGGCATCCGAATAGGCCCAGCTCGGGTCCCTGAAGCACCCCACCAGAAAGCCAGGAGTTTTCAAGGGTGTACCGCAAGGGGAGCAGAGGCTGCATCTGCAGATTCCCGCTTTCCAAGCAAGACAGAACAGACAGGCAGCTCTTCTCTGTGGAGGTTCCCATGTAGCCAGATTTTTCAAAGGCTGGGAGATTTACTGGGGAAAGTGAATGCAGCCATCAGAGAAAGGATAATTGGATCCAGGTGGTATATTGGGCTGGCTGTAAAGAGCCTGTGCCGTACTATGAATATTATTTGATGGGAAAAGTTTCTCCTTCTCTCCCCTTTTCAATGTGCTCTGCGCAGGCAGGATGTCTCAGCCTGAGCCCAGCTGAAACCTCTTCAGCACTGAGTCTGCACCACTCAATAGCCTTTCAGCGGAGTTAACCATTTTCAGCACTTGCTCCAGCCCGACCAGCTCCATGGAGGACGCTAGCAGCCAGCTTGGAGGGTTTGCCCCATCTCTGGCAGACATAGTTTGCTTTTGCCTTGAAAATGTATTCCACTTAACTATACCTGACCCCATCAGCAGAAGATGAGGGGCTGGAGGCCACTGGTGTGCTCCCAGTGTCACCGTGTCAGGGGACATAGTAGTGCAGAGTGCAGGATGTAAGTATGTCTGAACATACACCTGCAAGTTGTCACAACTGACCTCTCTGTCCTCCCTTCCCTCTTTCTGGCAGGTCACCAGGGTCCCCGTGGAGTTTTGTGAGCAGTACACAACTTGTGGGGAGTGCCTGAGCTCAGGGGACCCTCACTGTGGCTGGTGTACCCTGCATAACATGTAAGTTTGGGTCATTCTGGAAGCGGCCAGTGCTGCAAGACCGGGGCCTTTCACGGGATGGTGGGGCAGGACAGCAGTTTACAGAAAGAGGAGCGTGTCCTTCTTTTGAGCAGTGATTGTAATTGTGGCACAGTGTAGGGCAGGAAAGGCGGTTACCATGAGCGCCTTCTCTCCTCAAGTCAGGCCTCTGTCTTAGTCTCCTCAGCCTGGTTGAGCAGTAGGGCTATTTTCTTGAATCGCTGAAAGACCTCACCAGGAAAGCCATGGAGACTGTCTAGGTTTCCCAAGAAACCTTGTGGCGGGTCCAGCTGAGAGTATGCAGACAGCACTGCACTGGGTGGGGAAGTCTGCTGTCGGGCTTGCTGCTGTGTGACCCTGGATGAGTCCTCTGACAGCTCCAGGCCTTCATTTCTCTGCTGCTAAATAAGGAAAATGCCTATTTCACAGGTGAATTGTAAAGACTAAATGAAATAATAAGTGCTTTGGAAATAAGGAAGCCCAGAAGAGGCTACACAAATCAAAATAACTATTATGGACTCCGTACCCTTGGGAGGACCCTTCTGGCCTCATTATTTCATGATTCCAAGAAGTCGGCATCTCACTCCAACTGGCCTCATATCCCTATTCAGATACATCCCCCCCATTGAATACCAGCTCCATAGAAATGCAAAATCACACTTAAACTTCCTAATTTGAAGAGCCCCAGAGGGATTGAAAAGGGTGAAAACCGATAGGCGGGAGCTGGCTAGGAATTCTCTTGCCCAATGGAGTTGGAAACTCCATGGCCTGGTGCCAGCCAGCAGAACATCTCCATGAAATGTGCGGAGTTTAGGGTGGAGGCGGAGGCAGAGGGCCAGAGTTCAGGGTCCTGCACAATAGCTCTTGGCTTCCAGCCTCTGCAGCAGGTGTTGGGAGGATTTGGGAGGGAGGAAGGGAGGCTGGTGCTTCACAGATGCAAAATCCGGACTGGATTTGAGGCCACAAATACTGCGTTCCAAGCTTAGGTTTCAGAGGTTAGAGATTCCTCAAAAAGTGCTGCGAAAATGCTCGCAGTCAGTCTCCACATGGGTCAGTAAAGATTCACAAGCTATGCACACACTCAGCACCCCAGAAACACCTTAAGGGGTGAATGTGGGTTCCCAACAGTAAAGGTGACCCCCCTAACCAGCAGGCTCTCTCCGCAAGAGAGTTTTTATCTCTGAAGAGCCTAACAGCCCACCTAGCTAGTGCAAAGGCCCTGGGCTGCGTGCCCTCCACTCTACAGCAGCCAGGTCAGCTGCACCTCGACTTCCCTTCCTTCCCACCTTGCCTTTCTAGTTCTGGTGCCTCTGAGAATTACAGCAGAATTATAGATCAGGGATGGACACTTGTTCACTGGTAGGGCAGCTGTTTCCCCAGCTTGTCCTAGTGTCTATAGGTGATCAAGGATGCACCACTGCCTTAGCTACCCCGGACCACCTCGTCATCTCTGGGACCAGGTCCCTGTGACTTCTAGAATGGCTGAGCTTCTTCAGGAGAGCTCAGATTTCCTCTGTCCCCACAACTGCTCACCTATGGTCCGAGAATCCTCCCTCCCTCTCTGAGCACGCCTCTCCCAGCCACTCTGCCTGCCAAGGGCACATGGGGAGCAAGAGTTCTGATGTTTATGCTCAGAGCTTTCTCCTGGCCTGGTGGCTGTCATTTCACCAGACCTGCAGTGCCCTGCCCCTGGCTACCACCAGCCTTCCCTGCCAAGAGGGTACCAAAGAGCCAGGCCAACCCAGCTCCAGACCAGCATGCCAGCCTCTTCGTGGAGGCAGAGGGCTGCGGGCAATGGATGAAGGGCTTGTGGGTCCAGGGGGATTTGAAACCATCCTGCCTCTTCTGTACGCCTTACTCTTGCAAGTGTGTTATTGTCTCCCGGGCTATTTATCTCTGTTAGGGCTGTTGCCATAAATAGTATGATAAAAAAGAGCCATTTCAGTGAGTCAATGAGATAAAGGCTCCAGTCAAGAGCTCACTTTAGAGCTATCTTAAGGATTCACTTAAACCTCAATAATTCTTTTCTTTGACAGCATTCATATTTAGATCCATTATGTGCCTGGAAAGGAAGGGGGGGAGGAGCTTGGGGGAAACCCTGCTGGATGGTGCAGTCTTGCAGGGTCCCAGGGCTGTTTGGTTTAGAGCTGCCTCAACCCTGCAGTGTGCCCCACACACACACACGGCAGGTGGCATCCTGAAGCTCCCGTATGGAGCAGAACCGTGTCCACCTGCCGCGTGTGGGCAGAAGAGCTGGAGCTGGGATGAAGACATCGGGAGGAGCAGCCACACAAGCTTTCTGACAGGCAGCCCTGGCTGCAGCTCCATGTCTGTCTCTCTGTCTCTAGGCATTATTTCATGACATAAACATTTATTTAAAATATTCCCTGTGACAGGTGGACTACCCCAATGAATAAAACATAGCTTCTGCCTTCAAAGAGCCATTAATCCACCCACAAGATCATAGGCACCCTACCCCACACAGCTAAGACCCCGCACCGGTTTTCTAACTTCTGGAAGAGAATAAGAACAAGAGCCACCGTCATCAGTACTATTGGCATTGCAGGGTTCATGCTGACATGGCACCTGCCAAGTGCAGGGCTCTCACCTGCCCCACTTCATTCAGCCTTGTCCTTCCCCCAACCCTTGACGTGGGCTTTTCCCACCACCTTCACCCTGCTATGGCGGAGAAAACAGAACAGAGACTAGGTAACTTTCCTAAGAGTACACAGAGGGCAGTAGGCCTACGGTAGGCGCAGCACCCTTGCTCCAGAGTGCATATTCTGAGTCCGTCACAGTGCTACAACTCAGGTCCCCCAAAGTCCCCTCATTCACCATCTGAGTATCCAACAGCACAGACAAGGACAGGAGTGTCCCTTTTGTCTAAGCTACCCCATTCTTTGTGCTGAGAAGTGCTCCTTCCCCCAGTCTGTCCTTAGCTGCCGGTGATACAGACCCCCAGGAAATCCCCAGAGCCCTCGAGAGTCAGGTGTAGGTCACCAGGAGAAGACAAGCCACAGGCCTCAGTGCAGCACAACCATCTTACCTAGGGACAAAGCCAAGCATGTAGGCCCCAGGCCTGACCTCTTGTTAATCTGTGTCTATATTAGGTGCTCCCGCAGGGACAAGTGCCAGCGGCACAAGGAACCAAATCGCTTTGCCGCCAGCATCAGCCAGTGTATGAGCCTGGCAGTGAAGCCCAGCAGCATCTCTGTGTCCGAGCACAGCCGGAAGGTGGGTGCCCCAGGGGGAGTGGGTATGGGGAGGTGGTGCGCCTGGCAGGTATGCACCTCATGGCTTGCACAAGTATCTGTACAGTGATCAGGCTTCAGATGCCCCAAGGAAACTACTGAAAACCTGGTAACTCCTGTGTAAAGGGTACAGCCGTTTCCCACACTCCCCGCACATTTATTACCCCTGGATCTGCTTTGTAAATGCAAATTTTACCTTTAATGACAAACTCTGACAGAATACTTCTTATACAAAATAACATTTTCTTTAACGTGTGCTATATTTACAATAATCCGCTTGTTGTTATGCCACGTTTACAGTCAACCACTTGTTATGTTCTCTAAGGAGATCTGCAGGTTGTCTCTATGTCCATCCAAAGTCCTTAAAGAGGACAGAAGTGCCCTTACCCACATGTCCTGGTGCAACCCAAAGTCTTCCCACCCTCCAGTCCCAGCCACAACTTCATCCTGCAGGTTTTCAGAGCCCTTGCAAGTGTTAACTCGTTAATAATGCTCACAGGATTCAGGCCTATTCACCCCCTCCAGTAGGTTTCAACTCTCCAGGAGCCAAGGAACCAAGCAGGGAAGGGGGGTATCTGAGTCCCCACTGATAGGAAACTGAGGCAGAGATTCAAGGACAAACTCATGAAAAGGCTGGGTACCACCTTTTATCATTGTGTCCAAGAAAGCCACTGCCAAGTGTTGACAGGAAGACAGAGGGAAGCCTCCCTACCCCTGCCCCAGCTCTGAGAAGGCAGGGGTGTCATGCCATGAAGCCCAGGGCATTGCTCAATGTCACAGGGAGCCAGTCACATATTTTGCCTATTCAAATACCCCCTGGCCGTGTATTGTGATAATTGAATAAAAAAAAAATTGAAAAATGCACTGAATTGAGGTCAGAATTTTGCCATTAGATATTTTCTCCACAAACAAATTCTTCTGAAAGTCTGGTATTTTTACCACTCAAAAGAGCACCTTCAGACTTGACAAGACTGGAGACCACTGGCCTCCATGATGGAATGCAGAGGAAATAGACGCTGTGGAGCTGTTGGCAGCACCTTCCCTGGTCTATATTAGGCCACCATCCTTGCAAATCTCCTGTTCCACTCTGGAAGAAACACTGGAGAGCAGAGAGCCCCAAGAAACAGCGGAGTAGGAACTGCAGGAATCCCATAGCCTGCTAAGTAGCCTGTGAGCCAGTGGTAGCCACAGTGAGGAGCTCCTTTCTCCACCAAACTAGCGTGATCCTGGCAAACCTCCAGACTGGTGATACTTGCTCTCTCAGGAGCCCAGGCTGAAGCCTCTCTGATGAAGACCTCAGCTCATGACTTTCTAATTCCCATGATGCTTTGCAATTGATTTCCATGTCAAAATGAGCAGGATCTAAGATGGATTTTGGTACCTTTCCTTCTTTGCCCCAACCCTTAGTGCCTTCTGATGCTCGACAAGATTGAAAAATCAATTAATAATAATATTAATAAAGACTATTGGCCCTGCACACCACTGAGCAATTAATTACCATAATTGTTCATTGACAGAGCTGGAAGATCACCTAGATCAGCTCTCTACTTTGATAGATGAGGTCAGGACTGATTAGTGAGTAATAGGCCCGGGCAGGGCCAGCCTTGAAGCCTGGGTCTCCTGAGCTCTTTGCTCCTTCCACAGCTCAACCTGGTTGTGAGTGACGCTCCAGATCTGTCTGCAGGCATCACCTGTGCCTTTGGAAACCTGACAGAGGTGGACGGGCGAGTGACTGGCAGCAATGTCATCTGCCTGTCCCCTGGGCCCAAGGATGTCCCTGCCATCCCTCTGGATCAAGGTAAGAAGCGTCTACTGAGAGAGCAGAGGCTGGGAGCTGCTCCACCACAGTGCAGCCTGGAGTAGCAGGCAAGGAAGTTGCTTCACCTCATCTTCCAAACCAGGTGTGAGTGCCGGCTTAGAGAGCTGGAGTTTGAAAACAAAGTGTCACGGCCCCCAGATAAATCTAGGGTGAAGAGAAACACTTGTTCCTGAGTAGAGTGCAGCTTCAGAGTGCAAAGAGCTGCCCAGGGCCTGTCCTTTCTGGGGATGAGAGGGGCTGCAGGCCTTGGCCGGTTCTCTCCCTAGACCTAGGATTTGAGGGGCTCTGGCCCGATGTTGCTAAAATTGTTTCAGCCACAGAACATCTCTTACTGAGGCCAGGGCCACCATGGAGTCTGTCACCTCCTCCCTGGGTGAAGGTCTGAGGGGTTCTCTCAGGAGAAATCAGCTGGATTACATCTTCTGTCTGTGCCCCAGAAAAGCCTTTTCCTGCAGACCACCTCTGGAACCCCCAGGCTTTCATTCCTTCCCATTCTACTTTTTTCCAGACTGGTTTGGACTAGAGCTACAGCTGAGATCCAAGGAGACAGGGAAGATATTCGTCAGCACTGAGTTCAAGTTTTACAACTGCAGCGCCCACCAATTGTGAGAACTCCTGGGAAGCAGCCTTGAGGAGGGGATGTGCGGTGGGGCTTCCATCCTTTGGGTCTAAGCTCCTTTAAGAGAGAAGAAACGTGGTGGGCTCCCCCTAGTCTCCTTAGAGGGCCGGGCACAAGATGTGGGCAGAAGTGAGCAGCGCTCATTCTCCATGGCTTTCGGTCTCATTCCACCCCCCTGCACTCACTACCCCAATTCTCTTAAGCCAGAACAGAAAAAGGATCATGACCCAAAAGATGAGAAAAGATCTCCATTGTGGACCACTTTGTGATGGCTTTGTAGTTGGAGTTAAGTAAGTGAAGAAGTCAGAACTGGGGGTGTCCGCTGCTCAAGTACCCACAGAGGATAAAACACAGGGAAAGTAGCTTCTCTGAGCATACAGAGAAAGGACCTCAGATGAGGAGGTTTGGCAGGGTATTAAACTCTGCTGTGCTCCTGATCTACACTTCCGTTTTTGAATCCGGAGGGAAAACCAGACAAACTGAACTACAACCTCTAGAGGGGCTTGGATGCAGCTCAGCTGACTTCACCAGCCACCTGCAGTAGATAAATGTCTCCCAACCCTGTCCTCCCAAGAGAAGCCCCCACAACCATGCAGGGAGCACTCAACAAGTAAAAGGCAAGGCCAGAAGCAGGGGTCTATCCATACTTTCTTCTGATCCTAGAAGAGAAACTCAGGCACAGAAGTTGGGCGTTCATGCACTGTTTGGCTTAGAGAGAAGGAAATGTGTCAGGATACTAGGACCGAGGATTGTCATAGGACTAATAACCATGATGGATGTCCAGCAAAGAGGAGAATGCTACCCACAGCTCCATGCCAGAGGGGGCAGTAATCGGGCATAGCCTACCAGCCCATCTTTCCCATTGCCCCGGATAGGAGTACTGAGGTCTGTGTAACAGGCAGAACTCTCAGGGAGTCTGTAGGGACCAAATTGTAGGCACAGGGGGCTCAGCATCAAGTCAGGCAGGGGGTGTGTTTGCCCGTTAGCCCCAAAGGGACTTTCAGCCATTGAAACAGACCAGTGAGCCAGTCCTTAGTCTCTCCGCAGCTCTCACCTTGATTTGCATGACCAGAATAATCTGGGATTGTCGTATCTCTACAGTAGCCAAGGAAACGTATCTGGACCCATTGGGACAACTCAGTAGATATGCAGAGAAAGATGGAATAAGAGCTGAAAATGGCCAGCAGAGAACCAGGCAGCCCAGATGGTGGCCAAAGCTGAAGTGGGCAAAAGTGACCTCTGACCCCTGCCTTCCAGCCCGTTAGCTTAGGGGAATGCCTGCAGCCCCGAGAAAACCTACCAGCCTCCTCACAAACTAACACAGTGGGACTAGAACCCATTGTTTCTGAGAGCACCCTCACAGCCCTGGCAATCCAGTGTGACATCACTGCTTTCAGTGATGAACTGCTATGGCAGCGAAGATGCTGTCACAGGGAGCAGCAAGTTTTACCAGGAAAAAAAAACCAGATCTCCTTGACAGCAGAGGTTTCATTTTATTGCCAAACATGATCTATCTTACTCTTCTCCCTTGGCATCCATATTTAAAAGTCACAGTATCAAGTTCACTTCCCTCCTTTTAATATGGTAAACTGAGGTCCAAGAGAGTAAACACCGTACTGACTGTCACAAAATTAGCCAGTAAAAGGTTCATGTCTATAGTTCCAATAGATACCATCAGTTTTTGGTCCTTGGTCTGTTTTCATTATCTACTTGCTGAATCAGGAAATATTATCAAGAGCCAATCAGTCAAGAAGTATGACAAAGCACTGACCTACACTCAGAGACTAAATAACTTTGTACATAAGCAGAAGGGAAGAAAGATCATTGATCTGGGAAAGGAAGTGTAGATGGGCTACAGCACCTCAAGGTGCGGGCCTATTAGCAAGTGACCCTTTCCTAGCGCCCCAGCCATCCAGATGTAACCGGAGTCCCACCAGGTGGCGCCAGATTGCAGACCTGTTCTGGTCCATGGCAGATAAGTCTCTTCAGAAAGACTATGGAGCAAGAGAGCTGGCTTGGGGCGGAAGAGCAACCCCACCCACCAAACCCATTTCCACTATGGTGGTCTGATCATACACACCGAGCCAAAATAATATACACAGTCTCCATGTAAAACCAGAGGGAAAGAAGTGTTCACCCTGGCAAGGAATATGTGTACCATACACATGTCCTACTGTTCCCTGCCTGAGCTTGCAGTGATGTGAGATTAAGTTACCATTTAATACTGTTGAGTCCCCTAAACCCCATAACACAGATGCTATAGCCCATTGTTAACATGCAAACGTTACTGTATTTAACAGGTTGAAATCACAGGCCATTTAAGCACTTGAAAATAATACTCATGTTTAGCGATGCACTTTTCAAAGCCTGTTCTTGTATATTATCTTGTTTGACACCAAACATCCCTGAGGAGTGGAGAGGACTATTTTATTACAGGCAGGTAAAGGAACTCCAGCTCAGAGACTGAAATGACTTACTCATGGGTGGCTCTGGGCCCAGCAGCAGAAGCAAGACTGCACTCATATCTGCCCAGGTTCCACCTCTGTGTCCCTACCGCGGCTCTGTCTTATAGGCCGCAGTAAGTTGGTAAAGAGTTACTACCAGTAATTAGAGAAGCAAACTAGTTTGTAGCATTTGCCAATTTTTGTGGTTTAAATACCCCCACCAAGGCAGATCTCCAAGCTCCCAACATGACATTGTGGTCCTTATAAGATGTATTCTCCACCCAAGGTGTTCTTGTGACCAGAAAATTAGCAAGAAACCAGGACTAGCGTTAGAGAATCCACAGTCCACCTGTCCGCTCTCCTGTGAAGAAGACTGGGATATACACAGACTTCCTCATGACACGTGGCTGCAAGCCTGACCCCTTACTGTCCCTGTCCTTGTAGGTGCCTGTCCTGTGTCAACAGCGCCTTCCGCTGCCATTGGTGCAAGTACCGCAACCTCTGCACTCATGACCCTACCACCTGCTCCTTTCAGGAGGGCCGCATCAATATTTCGGAGGTAAGAAGGTTCACCTTGGCCGGGGAGCATCCCCTGTGAATCAGCGCTGCCTTTCCAGATGGTCAGTCCAATGGCTTGACCACCTCTGGTCCTGGCCCATCTTGGTGTTCTTGCCCAAGGTTCTACATATCAGAAAACCATGTCCCTCTAAAGCTCAAGGAAGTGGTAATAAATGATTCCAGAAAGAGAGGCTGTATCTGCTCAACTCCTCAGACTCAGGGCATTCAAAAGCTTGAAGTAGTATATTGAGGCTAAAGGCCAAGAGGAAACACATCCAGCCAGGCTCGGTGCTCTGGAGGAGGGCAGCAAAGGGTGTTCGTTCTGGGTCTTGCCCTTTGGTTGGCTGCAGACATGGTCTAGTTCAACAGGACAGGGAGTCTCAGCTGTCCTTTCATGCCAGCTTCTCTTCCAGCTCTAACATTCAGTGATCCTTTGGCTCTGACTATGGCTGGTTGGTGGCCTTGGAGAAAGAGGGAAATCCAGCTGATGAAAGAAGCTGGCATCGCTAACTGTCTGCTTTTACCGTACAAAGCCCCACCCCTAAAACCTAACGCACCTTTGCTACCAACACAGTAACTTGTGACACGGCTTACCTTTTCAAAGACTATTCCAGTCCGTGTCTGAGGGCATTGACTTTCTAGCATGTTCCCAGTATCCCTCAGGACAGTGAAATGTGCTGGTCAGTCTGCCTTGCTCTTCATGCCCAAAGGTGACCAGTGTGGTATGAACAACTCTAAAGATCAAATGTGTCACACGGATGTCCACATCCACACATTTCCTCTTGTTCTACTTTTTAGAAAATTCAAATAGTAGTGATGGTGTAGTGTTTTCCTATACCACTATAGACTTTGTACACCCTCCCTACTGCATGAGGCAATGAGCGCCTTATTGTTCAACCCTTAGGGCCTTTTTCAGTGGCTGTTTGCCAGCTGCATGCAAGGGAAAATGATGAGCAGTGAGCCTTGTGCCCATGTTCCATGATGGGAATCGTGTCTACCTGTCTAAGATGTCAAGAAAAGGGGGCTTCTGGGTCTCCATGGCTAAACATAAGAAAAGAGACCTTGAAAGTTTCCTAAAACAAACACTCATAGCCTTGGATTCTTCTTAGTTTCCAAAACAATAGGAGTTCTATTCCATCTGAGAAGTGAAATTTGCCTGCCTGGAGATGGAGGGACATAAATGGTGGCACAAGACAGACTCATCCACAGGGCCTCAGAGTGGTGGAAACAGGTACCCAGGAAATTATCCCAAGAAGATTTCTCTGTGTCCAGTGGGCATGCTGGCACTGCTGGCCTGAAAGCACCATGTTGTCCTTGGTGGATGTTGGGAGTTTATTTCAGCCCTGAGATTCTATAAGGGTTGGAAACTCATCTTCTTCCCCTAGGGAAAGTGCCTGAGAGCTGAGGTTGAGGGCTGGAGGGGAACACAGCTTGGGAGCTGCAGAGCAATGGCTGTGGGAAGCAGCCACAGGAGGGCCGGGTCAGAAGTGTGGGCTGGGCAGTAAGAGATTGTGACCAACAGCCTCAGAAATTGCCCTTCACTTTGGCCACTTGAAATGGAGGAGGATCCTAGAACCCAGAGGCAGGGTGAAGTGCAGACGTAGATCAGAGCCTGCCTCACTTGGCCACCCCCTTAGTCAGAGAAAACCTCAAAGCCAAGCCTGGGTGACACCTTGCAGCTGCAGCAGAGGTGAGCCAGCATTCACACAGAGCAAGACAAATAAACTCTTCAGGAGAATGGAAGCCTGAGGGCTGAGCTCCGAGGCTAATTGGAAGCAGGCCAGGCCCTCTTCACACCACATAGAAGCCACAGAAACCCAGCGGCCTCTGGGCCATAAGAGTTTGGGGCATTCCAGAGAGAGGGCGAGAGGTGCCATTGCCTTCCTATACTCAAGTACAAATTAATACCAAAAAGAGCCCCAGGGAGCACAAAGACTTTCCATCTTTTTCCAGTCTCATTTCCTGTCCTTCATGTCCATGGCTTGGGGGAAGAGGAATGATTCCTCTGGCTCCTCCCATCTCCTGGAGTGAGACTGGGCTTGATGACTGCTCTCTTACTGACTTGCATGCTGGCCCCTGGCACGGTGTAGGGACCGACTCTCTGGAGGGCCAGGAGGGGAAGCCCAGACTTGAGGAAATGGGGTGCAGAGGCCCCATGAGGTTACTAGGGCCACCTCCTCTGCTTCCTAAATACCTCAGCTCTCAGCTGCAGTCAATCACATAGTCTTCCTAGCAAAATGCTCAGGTCCTGGACTTTGCAGCTCTGCTTTAGGGGACCCCCCTATTCTTGTCCAAATTCCTGCTTAGGAGACCCCCTAAGCTCCTGAAACTTTGAGGAACCACACAGGTGCACATGCCAAGCTTCGGTGAGTTCTCCTTCACTCTCTCAGGAGTCCCATCTGGTGTCATCATGTTGCTATGAGGACTAGGCATCCCCTGACTATCTTTCTGGGGCCCTTAGACTATCTTTTTTTTTTTTTTTTTTTTACTTCCAATAATATAGCAGGCCTTTGAATCAAATTTTATGTCTTTCTGCTTTCTAGAAACAATATATGGCTGATTAGCTCCTTTGGATAATGTAACAATATTAATGCATCGCACATTTGTCATTTCTTTCACATATGGTGGGAATTCTCAAAGTGTGCCTGCCAGGGACACACACACCATTCACATCACCCACAAACTTGTTAGAAATTCAAATTCCTGGGTTCCAGCCTAGATGATGCTAAAGATTGAGAACCACTGACATATAGCATTTCAGATGATTCTTGAAGCAGCCTGGAAACTTCACGTAATGCAGACCTGACATCTATTGGAGCCAAGAAGCCAAAATGTAGGGGTTTTGCCCAAGACAGTAGATAACTCAGGCATCCCAAACACAAGTAGTGTGCTTTGTACAAAAATCAGGGCCTGTGAGTATGTTGATCCACGGGGCAGCATGCCACTTGCAGGATGGCTTCAGCCTGGCCCCTTGCTGATGGTCATGAGGGTCCAGGGTGTGGCTGGACCAGTGCAAATCCATCTCCACAGGTTGAGGAACTTCCCATGGAAGACAGGTCAGCAGTGCCCTTCCCAGATGCCAAGGGGCAGCGTATGCATACACAGTGCTTCTGCCCACATCCTTCCAGAGTCCATGCTGACGTTTGACAGTAAGGAATGCAATTCAAATACAAAAATATTAGAAGTTAGCACCTGTTGACTGCTTGTCATATATAATGTACTGTGTGTGTGTGTGTGTGTGTGTGTGTGTGTGTGTGTGTGCATAAATCTCATCTACCCTTCACTGCTCTGTGAAGTTGATTGTAGGACAGATAGGCTGAGGCTTATGCAAGTGAAATATTTTCACTCTGATCATCAGACAAATACAGACATCACAATTCAGAGTCAGTGTTCCAAGCTGGCCTTGAATAAGTTGACCTCTAATTCTGTGTTCAGATACACACATCCCCATGAGAAATGTGCAATAATGATATTAACAATTGTTAGTCTGGCTTATTACCACTTACATCATACTTTACACCCTTCTTTCATGCAATCCAGGGTTGTCAGGTAGCATTACCACCACTGTATAGATGAGGAATACAAACTGAGCCAATAACGAGGCAGAACTTCCTAAGAGCAAGAACACAGCAGCTTTCTGGTGAACCCCCCAAATCTCTGCCTCCTTAGTCTGCATAAGGCTGTGACACGGTTAGCAAGCAGTGTGTGCAAGAGTATGTATGTCTTTCAGCTTTTAAAACTCATTTCCTTCCATGGCTAAACCAGGCCTAGTGAGATGTAGATACATAAATATCTTCTTTACACCCTGCCCCAGGGGAAAGATAGAACCAAATAAATCCGATTAGCTTTCCAGGATGCTGGCTGCTGTCTCTCTTTGAAGTCCAGTGGGTGAAGATAATGCCATTTCCACATGGGAGAAGTCGTTTCAGAGGACCGACAGGTCCCAACACAGAAACTGGCAGCACACAGGGGAGCCGAGTGGGTCACGCAACCCCAAGGCGCACATTGCTGTGTGCAAAGTCCCCGCCTCCCAGTAGTTGCATCCACTCCCCACCTCCTCCAGCCCTGGGACATCCCCCAATAGGACACCTGTTCATCTCAGTTTGGATGAAGATGCTGCTGAGGAGGTGACCTGGCTGTCATTGGCCATGGGATAGAAGGACTGAAAGATGTTACTCCAAAAGCTGTGAGGGTCAGTAGGACCAATTAGCATCTTAAGAATGTCAATAGAGGTGTTAGCATTTGATAGAAAAGCATTTGTGGTTATTGCATTTCCAGTCCTTTGGATAAGAGTGTGTGTGTGTGTGTGTGTGTGTGTGTGTGTGTGTGTGTGTGTCCACAGAAGCAAATGGCTCGGAAATGGCCTCACTATATCTGGTGAAATCCATCACCTTCCTCAAGCTCCAGATGTATTAAAGTTCCAACAAGTTGGCAATTCTCCAGCTGCCAGCTCTCTGGCACCTGCCTTCTGCCTTCCCACTTCCACTTCCACGCGAGATCCACTGCCCCTCACTGATGATCTCACCAGAATCATCTCACAACCTCAAAGTCTGAATCTCCCACTGCCCACAAAGGAGAGAGTACCTTGGGCTTCAACAGCTTCTTTCCTTTGCCCTAAAAAACAGAAGGAAAACTCCTGTCTGGCCTGAAAGCAATAGCCAAATAAGCAAAACCTAACATATTCTTTTTCTACTGGGGCAATCTTGTAGCATGTTTGTCATTTGAGAAGATCCTAAATCTAATTCTAAAAATCCGAAACAGCAGGCCAAGGAAAAGTTTTCTAAAATTCTAGAATCCCTTAAAACACTTCTGAGAGTCTTCATAAAGTCTGCTCATCATTCTCCAAAGCCTATGCTGGCCAAAAGACTGTATGTGTGTGTGTGTGTGTGTGTGTGTGTGTGTGTGTGTGTGTGTGTGCATGTATGTGTACACTTTATATATAGTATATATGGTCATCTCTTAGTGCCATGGGAAACTGGATGTAGTACTTTGTGAATATCAAAATCTGTTTGGATGCTCAATTCCCTTACATAAAATGGCACAGTATTTGCGTATAACCCATGAACATTCTCCTGAATATTTTAAGTCATCTACATATTTCTTATAATAACTAATACAGTGTAAACACTGTTTAAATCAGGTCTACAGTATTGTTTAAAGAATAATGACAAGAAAAAATTCTATACATGGTAAGCATCTATGGAATTCTTTTCAAATTTTTTTGGTTCTTGGTTGGTAGAATCCATGGATACCGAGAGCCAATTGTGCTTTTTGTTATCAAAATTAAAAATTCCACAATCTTGTTTACCAACCTGAAACATCATACTTCCAAATACTCATCTCTAAGACCTTGCTACTGAAATTTGAGTTTGTACTCTGAGCTCATTAGAGATGACAAACAACTGCTCACCACTTAGAATATATCAAGTGGTTCAGAATCTGAAAATCTATTCCCCTTCCCTTATAAATGGTAAACAAATACAGACACACTCACACACACACACACACACACACACACACACACACACACACAGAGAGAGCATTATACCTTAGCCTTATTTCTCTCCTAAATTAAAATTCTAACTTATCATATTTGAAGTTGAAGTTTTTAGCCACTAAGAGGACAGGACATAGCCGTCTTTGCAGGATCCCTGGGTTCCCCTAAAATGGGGTTCTTTTTTTTCTTGTTACTCTGTAAAAGAAAGTCATGGCAGAATATCCATTACCCATCTCAAAGCCAGTTCAGGGAAAGGGTAGGGATAGGCTTCCCAGGAAGCCTATTTTTTTCTTGTTACTTTCACTTTTTTCTTGTTACTTGTTATAAATATGTGAAAGCCTCTGTCAAGAGTGCCACAGGGAATGAAAGTGAAAGTTCAGTAGAAAGTGGTTAGGAGCTGGCAGTTTGAATACTGGCTTCTGCCTGGGCCCATCTGTCCCTGGACTCCCTCAGGATCCTGTACCTCTTGGAAGCTGCACCTGCCTTGAGGCCCCACACGCAGTCAGCCAAGGTGCAGAAGTACCACTAGTGACCCTGAAGCTCCATGCAGACCCTCCTGGATAGATATCCATGAGAAGCATCCCCTGGCCCAGCACTTGGAATTCTTGAGATTCCTTAAGAGATGCACACATGCCCATTCCCTGATCATATGGCTCCAGAAGCCACGGCCTCCTCCAACCCTGTTTCTGGAACCTGAAATCCTGCTCAAGTCTGCTGATGCACAGATGCCAGGCTCTTCCCTTAGCTCTAACCAATCCACAAAGGTGAAGCTAAAACAAAACGTTGAAGATCTTTTTGCCTGTTGCTTTGTTTTCCTTTTTACATTTACCTTCCCATGAACAAAGACCAAGCATCCACTACAGGTTAGGTGCTGAGCTGAAAACTGAGAATGTAGGAGCAGGAAAGAGGGTACCTGCTCCTCAAGAGGCTGACAACCCAGTGAGGAGGAGAATTCAGCAAGAAATTGGAGTTCTCTGGGTAAAAGAAAGTCATGGCAGAATATCCATTACCTGTCTCAAAGCCAGTTCAGGGAAAGGGTAGGGATAGGCTTCCCAGGAAGAGAATGTGAGCTGATAAAAAGATAAAAGCAAGGCCAATGTATGGCTGGGGGCAGGAGGAAGCTAGAGGTGGGAAGTAGGAGTTAGTGTTTGGTGGAGAGAAAAGCCTCCTCAGGTAGATTCAGTAAAGAGAGCTTGCTCATGAGAATTAACCATGCATTCAAGATAGCCACATCACGATCTCAGAGTTACTAGGTAGGCAGGAGCCAGGCCATGCTGGGTTTGCAACTGGAACCTGAAGGAAAAGCAGCTGTTTAGGTTCTCCCTGCAGGCGAGGATGGCCAGCCTCCTGGTCCCTGGCTGAGGCGATGACCTTGCTCAGCACCTCCTGTGTTACACAAGGCTCCTGAACAGGCTTCACCTCTGGCATCCACACAGGGACACTCTCTTGTCTGGAAACTTCCCACATTCACAGGACATCAGCAGTCCCAGCCCTGGGACAGCAAATGCCAGTAGCACCCCTTGCAGGCCTCATAAGTAACTCCAGCCCCAGGAATTCCCAAGAGCTCCTTCCAGAAACAAGGCCTAGGAAAAGGGGAAGGGAAGGGGATTCTTCCTGGTGTTGATCCTAGAAGACAGGAAATGATTCCCTGTAAAGGAGATTTCCACATCCACACTGCCAGGGACTACAGGGCTCACTGCTTCCCTGGAAGAGAGGAAGAAAGAGGAGACTGGAGCTGGTAGAGAAGCAGCATGCAGAACTGAAAACTCAATCTCTTTCTCACTTTCTCTCTCAGGGTCCTTCCCATCGCCCCCCCTACCACAGCTTTCTTGTTTGAATTTTGTTTTCCAAAGCAACATGGCATTCATGCAGGGTCTGGTAATGAAATGAGATAAAAAGCCCGAGCAAGTATTTAGAACAACGCTGGGAGGGCTTGATCCAACTACTGGAAAGCCCAGCTCTGCTGGAGCCGGGAAGCTGAAGCTGATGATAACGGGCCGCCTTGGGCACTGGACAATGTGAGGGGCAAAGAAGCCAGAGCTGTGGAGCCAGATGAAAACAAAGTGGGGTACCCGTGCTGGGGACGGGCTCTTTGATCCAGTGTCTCAGAGATGAAATCCACTGTGTGCCATACCGATGCTTGAAAATTAATTCTTAGACTGTGATGCACAGACCTAATATATTTGTAGGATGTTGATGACAGTACCTGTCTTAGTTACTTTATCACTGGGACACAATACCCAACACCCACAATTTAAAGAAGGAAAGATTTATTTTGGCACAGTTTGTAGAGGGTTCAGTCCATAGTCAGCTGGCTCTAAAGCAGGGTAGCATGGCAGAGGAGAAAGAGCTCATAGCATGGCAGGCAGGAAGCAAAGAGGATCAAGGGAGTAGGAGAGATAAAACCCTTCCAAGCCACGACCACAGTGACCACCTCTTCCCATCAAGCTTCGCCTCTCAACATCACACCCGGCTACAAACCCATCAGTGGACTGACCCAGGGATGAGTATCACACCTCACGATCCAGTGTCAGACACCCACTGTTCAGTCACCTCCCCAAAGTCCCGCCTACAAGTGCACGAGGCTTTGGGGGAACATGTACATTTAAGCCATACCAGTATCAAAGCCCAGGAGTGCTGGGAGATTTCATTTTCCCTGGTGATGTGGCATGGCCCTGGACACAGAGGCCCTGGCCTGGCATCAGGGCAGCCCCTGCCCGGGCTCAGGTGCGTCAGGGGTGTCAGTGGAGGACAGATGGAGCCTCTCTGCTTGCTCCCTAGGACTGTCCCCAGCTGGTGCCCACAGAGGAGATCCTGATTCCAGTCGGGGAGGTGAAACCCATCACCCTCAAGGCTCGCAACCTGCCCCAGCCTCAGTCTGGCCAGCGTGGCTATGAATGCGTCCTCCACATCCAGGGGGCCGTCCACCGGGTCCCTGCCCTGCGCTTCAACAGCTCCAGTGTCCAGTGCCAGAACAGCTCGGTAAGAGGACCGGGCAGGGCTCAACCAGGTCCAGGGCTGTTTCTCCTGCCCATGCCAGCTGACCCCACTCCCCAGGGACAGAGGCAGCCCTAAGCACCCCAGGTGTCTCATTCAGCCAAGGCCAGGCAATTTAGCAGTATCAGAGGAGACAAACTCTGAGAGGAACCTCACTGCAGAGGTTGAGATCTTGGTGAAGTTTAAAGAACAAACTCCCTGTCCCCACACAGGGTATGAAGGACCAGAAGGGTGTCACCATCACCAGAGAGGAAAGCAGGATAGGAGGTGGGAGGGGGGAAAGAAGGTGGGTGCATTTTAAGAACAGCAAGTGTTAAACCTGGCCCGAATGGTGGAGGGAAATCACAGAGGGTGTTTAATTATAGTTCTAGCCCAGAGAAGATGTTTTTATCAGCAGCTCCTTGTCTCTGACCGTGGGGGGTCAGCTCAGAGATGGGGGCTGACAAAGGTGTGGAGGGAAGCTAATTCGCCTGGGAGAGATAAAGAGAATCTGGGCCTCTTATCAGGGAGCTGTCAGATTCCGGGGTCATGGGCACTTGATAGAATTTGTAATCAGTGGAAGGCGGCCAAGTGCAAGGGGAAGGCGGGTGAGAAAGAAATGGAGCGCAACAAAGGAAGAAGGCGGCAGAGGGACCAGGCAGGGGGACCGAGCAGCAGTGACATGCCCCTTGGAGCAGTGACATGCCTTCTGGAGCGGTGACATGCCCTCTGGAGCTACGTGGCTGGACTGGGCAGTCCCTTCCAGGAATGTCGGGGGTTTACTTCTTCACAGAGGTGCCACTGGGGGCTAAGCCACCCCACTGGGCTCTTTCTAAAGTGTGTGAAGGACTTCACGGTCCTCTTGCAGTCGGCAGGAGAGGAAGCCCATGAAGCTAGAGGTGTTCATGGTGGGCCGATGCCATTCTGCCAAGGAGCTACTGAGCATGCAGAGAGAGGACTGCGCAGGGCCTGACCAGCCAGCCAGCCACTCCTGACTGTCACTGAGGGCCCCTTCCAGGCCCTGAGGGGTGACAGGGCGGCCAAAGGGCATTGGCTCTGCCTCCCGAAACATATGGCCTCTTCAGAGAGACATGGCCTGCCCGTTAAAGGATGCAACGCAGCTCCTAGGAGATGCCAGATTAAAGACAAAGTGGCAGCACCAGAGAACAGGGAGGTGAGGAGAGCTGGCAGCAATGATGCCCCGGGAAAGATAGATCCAAGCTGGACTGAAAAAGTAAGGATGCATTAAAAGAATGGAGGTTATAGTGAGAGAGGTGAACACCTCTAGCTTCATGGACTTCCTCTCCTGCTGACCCTACAGAGGACTGTGAAGCCCTTCACACCCTTCAGAAAGAGCCCAGTGGGATGACTCAGCTCCACTGGCACCTCTGTGAAGAAGACCCAAGACATCTCCAGAGGGGGCTGCCTAGCCCAGCCACATGGCATTCCTGGTGACATAGGGATGCCACCCAGACACAAAAAGGCATCAGCAGGTGTGTATGGAGATAGGTGGGTTCAAGATCTCCGTGAGAGAGCAGTAGAGAAGAGAGGTGGAGACATAAGCTCGGGTCAGGTGGTACAAGGCACTAAGTGCCAGGTTAAGGGGTTGAGGTGGCACATTGGTGGCCTTTGTGACTGAGAGTCAGAGAAGGGCTGCTGTGGGGTCTGTCTGAGCAGCAAGGAAGGCTGCTCTGCAGCCCTGGCTCCTAGTGACAGGACCATGTACGTACTCTCTCTGTAGTACCAGTACGATGGGATGGACATCAGCAACCTGGCCGTGGACTTCGCAGTGGTGTGGAATGGAAATTTCATCATAGACAACCCTCAGAACCTGAAAGGTAAGCAGCTACCTCCAGGTAGAGGTTTGATCTTTGGACGACCCTAGAAAAGACTGGGGCTGGAGGGATCACAGCCGGCCAGCTGCTGTGCCTTGGATAATACGCTCTGCCTGTCAGCGAAACTCTTCAGAGGATCCTAAAGCAGTGTTTGGAGCCATCAAAGGAGTCCTGTCAGGAGCCCTGTTCTATTACAGCCAGAGCATCTATTGGGCGGCTGCCAGCTCTCCACATTATTCTTTGGTTCCTGGTGGCTTTGAAGTGTCTGTGGAGCCTGACCTAGGAGAATGGCAGGCAGGAACATCCCGCCAGTTTCCCTGGAAATGGAGATATTGTTTCCACTCAGGCTGTCACTCCCCTGTCCTTGGTTCTGGTCCTTGTCATGACCCAAAGAAGGCTTTTAGGATTGAGTTCTTGGTCCTGAGGCAGTGAGAGGGAGTAGCAGGCCGACACAGACCCACATCTGGGGTAGAGAAGTTCAGAAAGAGAGCTGGGCTGGAGCAGGAGGGGTGCTGCATGAGGGCCACCTCAATCCACCATCTGTAAGGGCATGCAGTGTTCCCCCAGAGCACCCACTCATTAAGTGATCTGTTTGAAATCCTTTTTCATAATTACCACAACTCTGAGAGGTCTGCACTGTTATTATTCCCATTTTGTAGACAGGAAAGTAAAATCCAAAGAGATTAAGAAATGGGCCAATAGGGCTGGGGATATAGCTCAGCAGCACAGTGCCTGCCTAACAAGTACAAGGTCATGAGTTCCATTCCCAGTACAAAAAAAAAAAAAAAAATGGACCAATAGTAACAGCAAGGATTTGGACCCCCATAGTCTAATTTCACACTGGTGTGCAAGCTTAATCCCATTACTGGGAGGACCTAAGGCCCAGCTCACTGAGGAATTTGAACCCTCTTCCCCCAGAGTATACCCCAGCCCCTGCCCCCATCATACACCAATGTCTCTCTAATATTCACCCCTTCCCCATACTGGGGAGTAAACCTAGGCCCTTCAGACTGAGCTGCACCCGAGACCTTTTCTTTTATTTTGAGACAGCATCTCATTGTATCGTTGAATTTCCAGGACTGGGCTCAAATTTCTAATCCTTCTGCCTCAGCCTCCCAGGGTGCTAGGATTACAGGCATGCATCACCATCCCCAGATGCCCTGTTCTTCAAGTAGGGAGCCTTGCAGACCTTGGCTTCCACTTGAGAGCCACTCACTGGGCACCAAGAGGGATCAAGGCCACCGAGAGCCTGCAGGTGTCTCGGCACCTATAGGCTGCAGCTCCTTGTCCCAGATGCTGCCATTGAAATCAGTGCAGTTTGCACTAGGGGAGAAAAATGGAGCCAGGAAGATTGCTTTTCCCTACTTCTTCTCCTAGCCAGGCCAAATTTTCCCACCAGCAAGAGAGAGCAGACACTTTCCTAGCTGAGGATCTGGGCTTGGATCCCAGAGGCTGTCTTTGCACCTGGAGCCCGGAAAGAAACAGCCCCATCCACACTGGGCATCAGACTCTCTCAATGCCTGTGAGGCACCTTGAGTGCACAGCAGCTTCTCGTTCATGCCCTCTCAGAGCCCAGGTATCAGGGGAGGCTGCACACTTTGCTGGGCAGAGGCAGCTGTGTTTAAGGACTCAGGCTGTGGAATTCAACAAGCTAAGATTCAACTGTAGACCTTTTCATTTGCCACGGCATGAAGTCAGACTAGTGACAGCTCCTGTCTGCACCCCGGGTCCTTACCTCATGTCTGCATCCCATCCCGTGCCATGAGGAAAAGATGGCCACTGCTCAGGGTCATTTGAGGACCCAGTAAGCTAGGGACTATGTGGTTCAATGTGCACTGGGCATTCCTGCCCTCTCCCTTAAGAAGCCCTCACATGGAGATATTTAAGTGTAGTCTGTGCAACTGGGACTGAGGATTGCTGGACAGAGCAGAAGAGTAAGAGGACCTATGGAAGGAAAACAAATGACCCCTGCATGGGGCATGTACCTGACGTCAACCAAGGAAGGCATACTGCCCAGTCCGGAAAGCTTATGTCAGCTTGACCAGAAGAGGTGAAAAATGACTGAGTACATTCATCCCTCAATATCCACAGTGAATTGGTTCCAAGGTCCCCTGAAGACTCCAAAACCCAAGGATCTCATAAAACGTCACTGTATTCCATATTCTAGATCCCTCATGTAATATAAGGTCAGTGCTATGCACAGAGCTGTTAGACTATATTGTTTAAGGAATAATAACAGGAAATAAGTCTGTACATGTTCAGCATATATGCACTTTTAAAAAGTACTTTAAATTCACAGTTGGTTGAATCCATGGATACAGAACCCACAAATATGGTAGGCCCACTGTATTATGCTTCTGGAAAATTCTTTTGGGACTCTGAGTTCAAACCCTAACGGCAAGGAGCTAGGCCCCAGGCTTAGAAAGCATAGTTCCTCTGACGGCAAGTTCTACCAGGGCTTTTAAGTCAATAGGAGACAAAAGCAAAGACAAAGGGTTTGAAGACTGCACATGCAAACTGTCCTTTCTGGAGCAGATTCCCCATCCACAGCGGTAGGGAACAAGACGGTGTCATGTTCTTCCCTTATCAACAATGTTGCACCCTTGCCAACCACCTGGGCTTTCTTCAAGGCCAAGCCAGCTCCCCTCCAAGACCCATGCACTGTCCAGCGTGCTGGGGCAATGCCTCTCTTCCTGGGACCCACCATCCAGCAGCACTGCCATCTGGAGCTTCAGGGTCCCAGCATGTGGCGCTGACCTTGGTGAGCTGTGAGTCATTACATTTCTCTTTGAGCTTCACTTACCTGAAGAAGGAAATGAGCCCTCACTGCTCTGAGGAGGGCCACCTGCGAGTGTAGGAAAATGGGGGCCTGAGAGTACAGTTTGAGTGCAAAGAGAAGACGATAAGCAGGCGTCGAACATCAGCTGTGTCATGGGGCTGGGCTCACTACTTACTACACAGCATTTCACTCAAACCTCCAAGAAAAGCAATGATTATCTCTGTATTAGAGAGAGGTAAATGTGGTTTGAGGGGGTTAAACCTTTGTCACATTGCTAAGAAGTAGTGAAGCCACAATTAAAGGCCTGATCTAATTCAGTGAAGGGCCAGAAATCTTAAGTAATGTTATGTTCAGTAGTGTCTTCAAATGACTGCTAAGAGGGGCAGTGTTCTTGTCATGATGCTGATGGGTGTTATTACCATGGTTGGGGACAGTGTCTGCAGCGTCTGCAGTCCCATCTCTGACCGGGCCCCTCTCTTTGCAGTGCACCTCTACAAGTGTGCAGCCCAGCGGGAGAGCTGTGGCCTCTGCCTCAAGGCCGACCGCAAGTTTGAGTGTGGCTGGTGTAGCGGAGAGCGCAGGTGCACCTTGCACCAGCACTGTACCAGCCCCTCCAACCCCTGGCTCGACTGGTCCAGCCACAATGTCAAGTGCTCCAACCCCCAGATCACTGAGGTAAGTCCTCAAGTTCCCAGGGGATGACCCGGGCCATGGGAGAGCAGAGCAAGGTGCGGCTTTGCAGCTGAACTCCTGGAGTTGTGTGTGTTTAATGTGGGGGTGTAGAAGGCCTCTCCTGCGTGTGATTCACTGGCCTGCCCGAGCATCACAGGCAAGTGCTTGGAGCATGTCTTCATGCCTGGGCACTCATTTGTGTGCACACATGCACACAAGGTAGGTGCAGAGATGGCCTAGTTGCCTCCCAGGCCTTTTGAGCCAGGTGGGGACAGGATGTTAGTGCCATGCTGGGAGAATGTTCAGAAAGCAGGCTCAGCTTTGTGCAGCAGACGTGTGTTTCAGGAGCTGCGATTAGCTTGGAGTTGCCGCTGTGTTAGCCACTGCGCCGCTCCCCAGGGTTTAGCCTCTGTCCCAATTTGTTTGTGCAATTTAGTAGGGAGAAATAGGTAATTAATTACATGAGGGAAAAAGTGGTGTATCCAAAATAGCACAGCGCAATGGAAGATGAATAGAAGATATGGATGGAAACGCAGCAGCCTGGGTTTGAATGGGCTGGAGGAGAAGAGTTATACTTAACTTGGGTTGCATTGTGTGCTCTTCACTCTTCATGACTCTCAATTTAGTGACTGTTGCTTGGGCTTTGAAACTAATCGCACATTCCTGACACTGACTAGGAACAGGGGCCTGGACAAGTACCACAGTGGCCTGCAGGTATGAAAAACTAGCAGGGGCTGCTTCCTGTCTGCAGCTTCCCTGAGCTGATACCCTGGCCCTTTCCTCAGCCTCATTTTCCCTGTTGGTCAAAGAAAATCATTCTGGTTCTCAGCTCTGTTGTGGTGTTGGGAAAGTTCTTGAGCTGCGCTGTCTGTGATCATAGCAAACAAGGCAAAAGGAAACAAAAAAACTCAGAGAAGCCCAGAGAAATTGAGCAACACGCTCAAGTTGCACAGTGAAGGAGCGACAGGACCAGTTTGTGAGCTCACATTCAATTATAAAACCATGGAAAATTTTCTATGACTTGCCCAGATAACATATAACCAGAAGTGATGTTGCCACTTCCTTAAGATCCAACCCTTTCCTGCTGGTGTGGGCCAGTTAGATGTGACCCATCCGTGTGACAGAGTAGCCCTTGATAAGTGTGTATCCGGGGCTTCATTCAGCTCTGCAGGATGGGGTTATGTGGGTACAGACATGGTCCCAAAAGAGTAGGCTGCTGCATCCCATCTCACTCTCAGATGTGGCCAGCAACAGTGGCTGTTGACATTCCCCTTTGTCTTTAGATTACATCTACAGGGGCTATGGGTGGTGCCCCAGACTGCCTTCAGCCAGCCAGCTTTCTGAGCTGCTCGGGCTCGGTGCCTTCTCCCTGACTCGTGATTTCAAGAAGCTGCTGGCCTGAGGACTTGCACCGTCTGTAATTCCTGCTACTGCGGTTGTCTATCCCTGTGCCTGCTGGCAGCTGTGGTGCAGAGAGCTTAGTTGGGGCATGGCTTGGAGTCCATCACACCGCCCACCTCTGCTACACCAAATCTGGCAGCTGTGGGCTCCCCAGTGGCTGACCCCTTCCCAGACCCCCGGGAAGCTGCTCACTGGGGAGCTTCTGCCTCAGACTCAGTGACCGGGATGACACCTGGCTCTGTTCACAGAGGACACCCAAGTTCCCGGAGGCTAATTAACCCCTTGAGCTAATGAGGCTGTAATTGATTTTCCCAGTGAACATCTCAGCAGGAGTCAGAGGCCCCCAGTCTCTGGGGTGATTTTCATGTTGAGCTGCTGAAAGTGAAACAGCATCTTTGGAAAGAGACAAATCCTTGCTGTGCTCCAAGCCACCCGAGGGATAGCACTCTGGACAGGACATGCAGGAGGGAGGAGTCAAGCCCAGAGTCATATATTCACTGTTATCCATTGTATTCCTTTCATTTCACATCCTCTGCCCCGCCAGAGCCTCCCCAACATGCAGAAGTCATTTTCTGTTCTCTAAGATTTCATTCTTGAAATAACCTCAGATTTATAAAGAGACACAAAATTAGTACAAAGAACTTTCACATTCCCTTCACCCAGATTTCCCAAAGTTAATATCTTATACAGCCACAGTATAATTATCAAAACCAGGCACTTCATACTGACTCAGTGATACTACCTAATACATGTGCTTTATTAACATTTTGCCAGTTATCCCAGTGATAACCTCTGTTCCGGTCCAGCATCCAATCCAGGATCTCATCCAGGATCCGGTGCCACTGCCGTGCCTCCTTAGCCCTTTATCTGCAGTCATATCATCCCTAATGACCTTCACGTTATTGAAGAGTCCAAGACAATTACTTTATAGCATGCCCCTCAATTTGGATGTGTCAGATGCTTCCTCAAGCAGAGATCCAAGCTATATTTTTTTGGCAAGAAATATTGAAAACATTCTGTGGAGTTCACACTCTTTTATACGTACCTTCCATATTTTTATTTCTATAAACTGTGTCCCCTCCTTGGTGCTACCACGGGGTATGGTGAGCAGAAGCACATGTTATAGGAGGAGAATAGCAGGATTCCAGGATACTGGGGTGGCAGAACTTATAATCCTGGAAATAAATGGGGGTGAGGAAGGGGTGCTGCCCTGCCTGGGAGCAGAAAATAAATGAGATGACCTCAAAGCAGTTCCACTTTAAGCAGAGGAGTGGACTCACTCACAGTTAGATGAGCAGCTGTGTTCCTCCTTAACCCCTCCTTACCCCCATTGTCTCTATGGCAACCAAGCCCACCTCTAGAGACCCATCCTTTATGGCAGCTTCATGTAGGACAAGTTGTACAGCCTATTGAATTTCCCAGTTTGCACAAAGCTCAGGTTAGGACCCCCTCAGGACTCACCGTCTGTTCCTTCTCAGCCAGCTCACAGTGTGATAATGACACTGTCCCCTGTGGGAGGCGGCCCAGGCTGCTCCCATTTCCAGCTGTCATGCAGGCGTCTGTGCACATGTCACCTGTTCAACCCCAGGAACAGGAGACTAGCAAAGGACCGGGGAGCCTGTGCCATGCCTGCCCACTGCCTTTCTGCTGGGGACTGCAAAGAGGAGGAGGTAGTGAGCTACCCCCTGGAAAGGAGGGTCCGGAGCAAGCGCTTCCCAAGAAGCCCAAAGGAAGGGAAAGGAGACCAAACAGTTCTCAGGAAAACAAACTTAGAGCAGTAACAAGGCTCCAGAGCTAGTGCCACAAAGACGTCAACTCTGGCCCCCACTGGGGAGTAGATTCCTGGGGTCCACCTAACAAAGCGGAGCAAACAAGGTACCTTAGACAACAGAAGTATATATATAGTTTCTCAGTCTTTTTTGAGATAGCGT